TAGTTGAATAAAAAAAAGCATAACAGTAACAGGAGACTAACAAAAGCAGAACTTTTAAAGCTTTGTGTAGCAGGAGTAGGAACACACAACACATTTGAGGCTAGTGTCTAAACAAAAGCCATTCCTAGCCAAGCACAATTTATATCAAGCAGAAATATAAATATATATCAAAATCAACAGGAAGCTGCACACCTCAAGTTTAAACCAGTCACATGGCTGAGTCCCAGGGATACCACTGTGTTTCATCTGCCCTACGCTTACATGAGTAACTCTGCAGGAATGTAAAACCTGTTGACTTTGATAGGATTATTAACAAAGCATGAAGTTATTCATAATGTACACAGCCACCAGCAGTGACTAAACGAGAGCTGTTTAGTTTATGTTACTATATTTTAGTGACCATGAATGGACCACAGGAGATAATAACCGGAGAGCCCAGAGCAAAGCTAGCAGAAGCTCAGGTGTCCACACATCTTACTTGAAGCTGAAATCAGAAACCTGGTATCACACAACACCTCAGAACACACTTAAACTGATCAAAACTGATTCAAGTATGGTTTTTGTTTTTAAGGTTTGCCAGTTGTGTTGCAAAATGAGTTGGGGCCTAACCCTGCAAGTAGATAGTGCTGTACATCTGTGGATTGGTGCAGACATAATTGGGACACAGAGCTCTTCATGGCAAGGATCTGGTTCTTGCAGCAGCACTTTGAAGCACTCCACATTACCCTACGAAGAATACTGCAAACCACAGCCTTAAAAACCTAACTAAGGATGGCTTCATAAAGAAAAGCCAGAGTAAGGGATGCAAAGTGCCATTAAAAGTGGATCTAAGGAGCACTTTTAAAGCATCGTGTGCTGCAGAAATGACTTCTGTCCCCAATCCCGCTACCCACAACCACAGCTGCAGAAATTCCCTCACAGACTCACGTGTATCATAACCCTCGAGCACTTAACGCCGACCCTTCGGCTGCCAGCCGTGCCCGGGCAGGGGCCTCAGCTCGGAGAACAGCGCCTTGGGCCCTGTGGCACCCGCAGTCCTCTCCATCCTTGCATCTCTCCATCTGTAAATTCGCCCCTGGGGCAGCACCCGGCCCAATCCCCGGCTCCAGGTGCAGGCGCTGCCCCGGGCCAGCAGTCAGTTCCCGCAGAACAGAACCCCGCTGAGTTTCCTGCCCAATTCTCACTTTTCTCCCCCCACTCCCCCTTTGCTTTTTGTCGCTAAGCCTCTCTCTCCGTCTTTACTTTCCAGGGGGGCGACAAACAAATGCGCTCCCCGCTCCCGCAGCTTCCAAACGATCTTAGCAACTAAGCCTTCCTCCTCCTCCCCCGGCGGTGGGCGCCTGCCCTTCGGCCCCGGCAGCTGTCAAGCGGGAGCGCAGCGCCGGGGCCGGCCCGGCACTTACCGCGGAGCAGCGCGGGGCTCGAGGAGCCCACGAGGACCCACAGGGACACTCGCAGGAGCAGCGGCCGCAGGCGCGGAGGCATCGCGGAGCCGGAGCGGGGCGGCGGGGCCGGGCAGAGGGAGGCCGCGGCGGGGCTGGCGGGGCGCGGGCTGCGCTGCTCGGGGCTGCGGGTGACTCACTGAAAACTTCACTTCGGCGCTGCAGGGGAAACAGGAAATCTTAAACTCCGCAAACAGCTGGGCAGGACTTTCTTACTCTTACAGTAGTTCCTTCTCCCCCCTTCCACATTCACCCCCCCTCCCTTCTCTGCGCTCGCTCGTTTTTTTTTTCTTTCTTTTTCTTTCTTTTTTTTTTTCTTTTTCTTTTTTTTTTTTTTTTAAGCACGAAACCTCACCCAGTTGGGTGTCAATCATCTGCCGGAGGCCAGCCCCTCGCAGGTCTGGCTCTCCCACCGCCAGCGGGGCCAGCCCCGACGTGCAGCCGGCTCTCTGCGCCCGCCTCCCGGTCGGGGACCGTACGCGGACGCCGCCCACACCGGCACGCCGCGATTCGGGCTCCGGAGCACCGTCCCTCTGGCCTTCGGGCCGCCCGAGACCCGGCAGTCCCGCGGCGTGAGGCCGGCGGCTCCCCCGATCTCCTCCGTGCATCCCCATTGCCGTGCCTGGCGATGGTGCTACAGCCCGCGCTCTCCAGTGCAGAAGCATAGTAAGAAGGGTGCCCGAAAACCCCAGATGAAATGAGGTGGGGCAGCAGGGGAGGTTGAAGTCAGGGTAATAACAGGAAATGTTCATGCAGACCTGCCTGGCATTCACCTTGCAGATATTGAAGCAGACCGTGACAACTTGTCACCCACCTATTTTTAATTGTACTTTGTTTTTTGCATTTTGCTCCCAAACGGACCAGATGCACACCACTTGATGTGTTGACACAGGGCATACTCATCTCCATTCCTCATTCCATCTCTGTTGAGTTTTTGACACAGATTTCTCCAGAAGGAAGAAATTGTGCAGGGTATTCATAGAGTGGAAGCAGACCTGAGATGCCAGCTTTGCACTTCTAGAGACCAGAAGGAAGCGTTACATCCTTCTCACATTTAGGTTGAATAAAGCCCAAGCCTTGTGCCAATATACATCCAGCCACTGGATAGCCAGCAATTGCCTTGAGACCCACTTCTGATACCCATAGCCTTCCTTTCTTTCCAAGTTCAGTGGCATTGATGGAAAAGTGAATTGATGCACACGGGGATAATCTGACAGTGCCTGCTCAGTCCTTGGTGATTCACTTCTGTCTCAATTACAGCACTGTTTAGAGGTGCAGATTTGCATATTTCAGAAAAAAAAAAGGCTGAGCCCTCAGTGGGTGTATGTGTGATCATGCTCTGAACGCCCCAGATTAACTCTGTATGAATTTGGAAGTGTTTGTAAAACACATTTAATTGGCCTATAATAGACATAAAAATCTCATTGTGATTTTATGTAAATTTGGTTTTAAAAACCCCCTAAATGCAGATTTTCACAGTGCAGACCAAGTTTATTGTGCTAGTTCTCATAAACATAGCATTTTCCTTGTCCTCGTCCCCTTTAAATACAGTCAGGATTCACACAGAGATCATCTTCCAACCAAAGGCTGGAGAACTACTGGACTTGCATTGAGCAAAGCTCAGCGCTGTTCCTCTGCTCCCTGTGAGGAGATGCAGCCACCACAGGGCCTCCCCTCAGCTCCTCTGCTCTGGGCTGAGCAAACCAAGGGAGCTCAGCTTCTCCTCAGATAAAGTGAGGTCTGCTATAAGTGACTTCTGAGGACTCATTTTTACATATGAGCATTGCTTTCATTTCCAGACGTGGTACCCAAGCAAGATTGAGGTATAGTTACCCTTTGAAAGTGCCCATGAGAATGGTGGGTGTTACCAGAAAGTTTTTAATGGAAGCAATATATCCTACCTTGATATCCTGGATACATCATTCTGGAAGGCCAACAGTATCCTGAGCTGCATCAAAAGAGGGGTGGTCAACACAGAGAGAGAGAAGTGGTCCTGCCCTTCTGCTCTTGTAAGGCCCCATCTGGAGTAGCGTCCATGTCTGGTGCCTCCTGCACAAGGAAGACATAGAACTGCTGGAGTAAACCCAGAGAAGGGCCATGAAGATGATCAGAGGTCTGAAGCACATCTCTCTTATAAAGAAAGGTTGAGGGAATTGGGCTTGTTTAGCTTGGAAAAGGTCCTAGGGAGACTTCACTGCAGTGTTCTAGTACTTGAAGGGAGCTTATAAGCAGGAGGGAGACCTACTTTTTACAAGGGTAGACAGTGATAGGACAAGCATGAATGGCTTTAAACTAACAGACGAGAGATTTAGGTTAGCTGTTAGGTGGAAATTCTTTACTCAGAGGGCAGTGAGGCCCTGGCAAGGCAGCACAGAGAAGCTGTGGTGCCCCATCCCTGGAGCGGCTCAAGGCCAGGTTGGATGGGACCCTGAAAAGCCTGAGCTGGTGGGTGGCAGCCCTGCCCATGGAAGGGGGCTGGAGCTGAAGGGGAGAGCTTTAAGGTCTGTACCAATCCAAGCCATTCTGTAATTCTATAACTCTATCCTCAGTAAAAGAATAACTCTCACAGAAGTCAGCCCCAGTTTGGTTCAGAGATTTGTCTCAGGCTCGCCTATTAATAAAAGCTCGTGTTCTGCATGTCCATAGTATAAGCTTCCCTATTAGGGCCCAAATGCAACATAATCAGGATTTCCTGGACAATCAAAATATGTAAAATAGAGCTAAACTGGTCTTTTCTTTCCATTTCCTCATTCATAGTTCCCAGTTCTCTATTTGCAGTCTGCAATTTATTACTGACTTCTAGACTGGAACTGTGAATATTTAACCTCAGTCCAGCTGTGGTATGAAAGAACCAGCATCAAAGAGCCACAGACTGAAGCTGTAAATAATTAACACCACCTGACCAGGTGAGGAAGGGCCAGCTAATTTCAGTTCTCTACTCAGATAAGCAAAATACTGAGGTAATGAAAACTGTATGTTTTCTTTCTGAGCCTTCAAAAAAGGTACCCAGAGCACAAACATGCTGTACGTTTCATGCCTCAGGGGCCTTCTAGTGAAGACAACAAGAGTGTTTCATGCTATAGTTTTAGATACAACTTCTTATGACAGCCTGTAAAATGTATTGAATACAAATAGTTTCTCTCTACTATTCCAAACATTTCTCATTTTGCATATTTCTGTTAGTATTCTAAACAATCCACAGCATTATTCTTATACAAAGAACACTTCCAAGCTTCTACAAAACTTGCATGGTTAATAAAAACTGTGGTTTCTCTGTACTTAACATACACTTCTATACAGTTAACAAATGTACAGTTAGAAGAGTAGTGTAGTAAGGATGGTATTTTACAAGTTTATAATTAGAAAGATTTTCACAGTAGAAAGAGACAGTCAAAAATGAAATACTCATCCATGTTCTAGGCTCACAGTAGAAAACCCCTAAAGGAGGGATCCCCAGAAACAGACCCTTCCCCAGTGAGGGTCAGCCCTTGAATGGGGGGTCTAGGAGAGGTGCAGCCAGGCTCCAGCCCTTCCATCACACAGCTGAATCGCCTTCACCTGTGCTCCATGGCTGACTCAGTGCTCGCCTCAGGTGATCAATCAGTGCTTCAGCCATGACCAACGGTTCCTATACACACTTCTAATCTAAAGTCATTCTGCCCACAGCAAAAAACTGCTGATGTGCCCAGTAAAGTAATTATTTTTACTAGTTTATTAGGTCCAGTCTTGCTTTGCTTAAAAATCCCACAATATGCTACTTCCCAGATCCACTGACTAAGAACTAAATAAGGCTTATACAGCTGCACTAACACAAGGTACTATTTGTGCCTTTATTAAGTTGTGAGATGTGGCTTACAGTAAAAACATCTCACTTTTAGCTGTCTAGAAGTTAGCTTCAGAGTGGGATTCAAATAGATGAGTGAGACAACCTGGTAGCATTTGTAGCATCCATCTGACTGTAGTGAGTTAGTCCCAGGTCAAGCTTCAAGACCAAAGGGTTGAGTACAAAGGCTGGATGAGCTAAACCACACTAATGTTGGTAGCAAGCTATTTGGCCATCTAAATCCCTTCCTATTTTGTCTTATTGCTTTCAAAAGAGAATGGGAAATCTTTTCTTTAAAAGTTGACATGTTTTCTATGATACAGATCACTGTTTATTTTCAAGTAATGAATTGGTTTGGCATTTTTTGCTTGTTCTCTGTATTTTACATTTAAAAAATGAAATAGGAGATCAATATACAACATTTTGATTTCACTGCAATGAAGGAGGAGGCTTATTTTCAGGGGAACTCTGACATTTCATTCAGATCAGAGTCAAACTTTGTAGCCCTATACTGTCTGCAAACCAGAACTTATGTTCCCTGCAGCGCTCCATTCACATAGCTGACATTTGACTGCTCATTTTCATATTCAGGATACTTGGCATAGCATATTGGCCTTTCAGCATTCTTCATAAAAGCTCTACCCAGTTTGTGCACCATTTGCTGAAGAAGAACACACCGTGCTCTGCAGAGTAGTGTTACACTTTGCACAACTAGTGTTGTGCTTGTATCAATGCTTGCATCATATTGCTCTCTTCGTTTAAGTTATCAGAGAGTACAGAATCACAGCTACTGTTAAATGCAGTCTTCTTCTTTGGTATAAACACTGGTTTGAATTTGTTGCTAATAATTTGCACTGTTACAGGAGCACACGCAGCCTCAAGCAAGGACATTTACAAAAGGTTACATTCATTGCAAAATGTTTTGAAAGGCTAATAAAAAGTGTTTGGACTTAGCACAGCATTCTGCTTATCTCACAGATATAATCAAATTAAAACATCTGTTGTATGTAAACATCCATCAGAAGGAGGCAATCAGCTTGTTATCAAGTCCTGCATACATCAGAGGAAACAAGAATAATGTTATCATCTAAATTTATCTTCCTAATGCTTTCTGTACAAATCTCTCGAATTGCACTTAACAAAATAAAGTTCTGCAATATTATTCAAATTAGCACTGGATTCCCAGGGCACTGCTGTTCACAGGATTTCTGACTTCTGTCATGCAAATCAAACATTTTTAGGGTTCACTGAATTGGCTTGTCCTGTGCTTTTACTTTGTATGTATAAATATCCCCAACAGTGAAAGCTGAGGTACAGAAGTGTGAAAAATATACATTGTTTTTTTCAGTGCAGGGCCAGAAGCAGGAAGCACCACAAATCTCACCACGCAGTATTTTACGTGAGGAGCTCAATTGCCATTTTCCAAAAGCTAAGGACATTTCATGAATTTTATACTGTTTCCTTCAGTGTAATGTATTGTTCATGATGGGTATCTGAGCTGGGGAAAACCTTGCACATTTTCATAAGCATGTTTTCTCATCTCAACACTTCTACAGGTACTACAACTTGTAAAACTAAGTCTAGATAAACTGGCATTTTTAAAGTGTGCATAACAAAATCATTGCAAATATGCTCAGGAGATGATACAAGTTGCTCAAAAATATTGTTACCCATGGAACTTGTCTCCATTACCACGTAATTTGCACTATTTATCTTCATCAAAGCTTATTATTTTAGGATCTTCATTAGAAAGAGTTTGAACATTGGATGCCAAGCCTCATAAAATATCTGAAGCTATCAAAGAACCTAAGTAGTGTAACACAGAGGCCTTTCTGTTTCTTTTTTCCCACTGGAATGAAAGGGAGTTGTGAATCTTAGAGTATCCCTAAATCTAATCTGAAAGAATCCCAATACTTCAACCGCAAAGCCCAGTTAAACTGACTCATTTGACCAGGATCTTTAAATAAATTTATTTGCAATAGCACAGCTGTTAGTCTCAGGAAGGTTCCATAATTTTTATCTGCAAGGCAACTTTATGATCTGTGGTCACAGGAGGTGGCTACTGTGCTTCAGAGGTCAGAGGCATGCAGTACAGGAGGATTCAGCGTGCCCGGGAGCTGGATATTATTGCAACACAGCTGACCCTGGAACTAATGGGTTGATTGTGGCTTGCAAATATCTCAGCTCCTTTCATTCTGAAACCAAGATATCCGACAGAGTAACTCGACATGCCAGTGCGTTATGTCAAGCAGGTATTCCTTTATTACAGCGCTGCGTGCATGGGGGATCACTCCACTGAACATGCACACCAAGGGAAGCAGTGACTACATATTTATAGGCATAGTGTATACATATTGGTCACATTTCTGAGAAAGTGGTTGCATACTGTCCCACCCTTCTGAGCATGCCTCATAAAATGTGGGAAGGGTCTCTGGGCCCCATCTGGTGGTCGTTGGATGAAGGATAGCAGTCATCCTCACAAAGGCTCAGAGTTTTCCTCTCAGTGAACTTCTAACCTTTAAAGGGGGGTGTAGCACAAACCAGCCTCAGCTAGTGTTGTATTGAGCTGAAGCATCTGTTTTGCTTCCTTATCTTTAACAATAAGACGTCTGTCCTGCTTTCTTATCTTTACTCGACAGCAAGTTCTTGCGAGCTCCGCATTCAGTTCTTGAGCTTATATTTACGCAAGCATTCACGAAGTCCACACAAGTTATGTGAAAAGATATTCATTGTTCCTGATTCAATTCACTTTTGCTGTTTTTCTGTTTCCCTGACTAGAGACCATAACCAAACTAGCTTGTGAGCCCAGTTCTCAGGCTGTGCAGTCTTCTGTGTCCTCCAGATTTATATGACATCCCCTCCAAGTCTTACCAGTCCCAAAAGCTGGCAGGCCTTCCTCTTCACAGCGCAGGCAGCACTAGCCAGGCCACCTTCAATAGTTTCAGTTCTTGGATAGAGATGGCTAGTACTGAACAGTCCAAATTACACAGTGCTCACCTGAAACTCTCAAGAGGATAAACAATTCTATCCTATTAAGAAAAGGACTGCAATTCTATCTGTTGGATAGGCACAGGTGGAGGGAATTAAGGACTTCTGCGAAGGAATTCTTCTAAAGACCTGGGAGAAAACCTTAATCCACAGCCTCAGTGATATTCAAAGCTGTCTGCATCCTGTGACAATATAGGGGCCATTAGAGAGAGCTTTAGTGTAATTTACACCCATTTTATTACTCTTTTACAATGTTAAAGTGTTACAAATAGTCCTTAACATAACTGAGAATTAGATGCTTTGCAGTTAATAAAAGAAACATGATTGATTCTATTGTCTGTCAAAAAATAATGCTACACATTTTCTGTCAATTTGGCATTTCTGGAGTGCCTCTAGGGTCTACAGCCAGATATTGACTGTAAGCTGGGGACAAATGAATGGTGCTGGTTTAAATTTAGCCTTCCATACAGAGATGCACAGCATTTCTTGCTCTACTTTGCCCTGTCTGTAAGAATATTTTTTTATCTCTGGTGACCTATAGTTGGAGAAAGTGGTTTGGTAATTCTCCTGCCAAGTACAAACTGAGGTGCAATTGAAACTGATGAGGGATGAAAGTGTGAGTGATATTTGTTGTATCTTCAAATAGTTTGAAGTACAGATAAGAACACATCTTGCCCTGGACTTTCACATTTTGATCTCTGCATCAGGCAGATGTTGAAGTCTTCCTATCCTGAAGGACTGCTTTCCACCTACTTTGAAAACTGCTTAGAAATTGAAGAGTTTGTAGGCTTTTTGGTGAAGGCAGCCAGACAAAGGAGTGGGTTGTTGTATGGGAAAGTGTAGTGATGAGATAAGGAGGTGAGGATATCTTGTTGATGTCGAGCTGAATTTTCTGAAGAGCTTTTATAGCACTTGCTATTTCATGCATGTATATTCTTGCCATAAATATTTGCCTGGTTTTCATCTCTAATTTTTTTCTAATGATTTTTTTAAATTGTGATTCAAAAATTAGACTCCAGTGTTCTCCATCATGAATGAAAAATCATTTACAGTTGTCTGCATAACATTACTCTTGTATGATTTTAATGCCTTTCCTTTGATGGACATGCTGATCTCAATGATCACAGAATCACAGAATCACAGAATTGTAGGGGTTGGAAGGGACCTCCAGAGATCATGGAGTCCAACCCCCTGCCAAAGCAGGTTCCCTACAGCAGGTCGCACAGGTCGGCATCCAGGCAGGTCTTGAACATCTCCAGGGAAGGAGACTCCACCACCTCACTGGGCAGCCTGTTCCAGTGCTCCGATGATCTCAGTTGACATTTTCTTCTTTTTTTTTCTTTTTTTTTTTCTTTTTTTTTTTTTTTTTTTGTGTGTGTATGTGTGTGTACTTTCCTTTGGTTTCTTTCCCTTTTTCCCTGACTCTAAAATTTCTTTCCTTCTTTTCTTTCATTTTACTTATTTGATGTTTTTTTTCCTCTTTGCACCGACTTTTCCCTCAGGCATCAGTTACATACCGCCATTTTAAAAATAAACACTTTTTAACATTTTTATAATTATTACTACCTCAAACTGTAGTATCTTAGACTTAACAAGTTGCCTCTTCACAAGTGTGTCTGTCTGTATGTACATGTTCATGTTACCATCTCCTTCAGAAAAAAATATCCATGCTGGTAGTTTCACAACCAACAAGTGGTCGTAAGACACAGTTTATGTATAAGTGGCAGAATTTTTAGTGGCATCTTTTAGTCAAAGTGCAAAAACTTAAGAAATAAGAGTGGCACTGTACACTTCTCAGCTCTCTTTG